GGTTGGTCACTGACGGCAGTTTCAGGGCTTGCTGGGATACCACAGTAAAGTACGCTATGGATGCCACTCATTTCTGTCTGCAGACTGCAGGTTTTTCACACGGGATGGTTGGTGGTGAGGACAAAAGGCATAAGGCTCTCTGGGTTTTGGAGGAGGGGGGGGGGCGATATTTTATTGCCTGCACAGAGAGCATAATTTGGAACTTGTGTGTGTGTGTGTGTGTGTGTGTGTGTGTGTGTGTGTGTGTGTGTGTGTGTGTGTGTGTGTGTGCGCGCGCGCGCGCATGTGTGCGTGCGTGCGTGCGTGTGTGCGTTAATAAAACTTCTTTAAATCCCTCTTACCAAGTCAGAAGACAGAGTATGAAAAAGGGCCAGAGTCTGTTTCAGAGGAACTGATCTCTGTTGATACACGTTCCGGCCCACAATAAGGTATATCTATCTAAATGTATTACGCGCCACGTATATAACGTACTAGATGTGCTTCTTAATGAAGTTTCACTTTTCTGTAACTTCATAGCCGTTTCACAAAGTAGGCTGCTATTTTGTGATGTCATAGGAATACGTATTTGCAGTTTCTGTACTAAAAGACATTGTAACCATACAATTTGCACTTGAGGTATGACGTGTCAAATATGTGTTTTGCATCACTTGTTCAAGGTCAAAACTTTGACAGTGGCGTTTGAAGAAAGAGAGAATCAAAGTTATGCACACAGAATTCTTTTACAATGCAGTCGTAATTCAGTGTTGGTCATCCCCGTTGGCGTCACTGTCGGTAGGAATACAACTAATCAGTGAAAAATGATACATTAGATCCAGCCATTCGCACCCGTACAAACAAACAAACAAACAAACAAACGAACAAATAAATAAAGAAGCAAACAATAAACAACAGCAAACAAACAAACAAACAAAACACAACAACAAATTATAAACAAACAAGCAAACACATAAACAAAAACAAAAATAAATAACAACGAACAAAAAAAAAACAATAAACAACAAACAAACAAACAAAACACAACAACAACAAACAAACAAACAAACAAACAAACACCTATAGAACAGCTCGGTATGCTGAAATCTGGTGTCATCTTCCACCGCGAAAACACACCTGTCAATAAATCCAGAGTGGTCTCTGAACTTCTCGAGAGCTTTCCGTTGGATTTACAAATGTATTCAGGCACACCATTCCTCAGATTAAGCGCGTAGGACTTTTTTCTGTTATTTTTAAATTGACACCAAAAAAAAACTCTTCGTAATTCGATTTATAAGGACGCAGATGAGATTTAGTGGCGATGAGGAAAGGGATACGGGCTTTGGACGAAGGAACAGTGGCTTATGTTTTTGATTGCTGGGTGCAT